CTATAAAATATGAGTATAGGTAGGTACCTACCAAATAATTGAAATTAATTTACATGAGGTCTAAACACTTACCTTCGAATTTGGGAATAGACCTAAACCCTCCTTACATGACATTTTTTCTCTACCATAAACACAAAAAACTGTCTATGAAACCGACAAAACGTACAAAGTATCTGCATGGAGGCTCTCGTACAAATGACGCAATACCAACTTAATAAACTTGTTGTTATAGGTTATGATTTCTTTCTGATGCTTGCAAGGAATGTAAACAACGAATACTAACGTTAAAATAAATTCATTGTGCATTATAGTTTTATCCCTATATAACCTATAACAATAATAGCTTGATTATTTAATAAAATCCCTGAATTCATAACAATAAAGAAACAAGTACTTCCAATATAAATAAATGTTTATATATTTACCCTAAAGAAAATTGTCTTAATAATAAAGACACGCAGGGTTACATTATGAGTGAAATGTTAGGAAACACTTATTATAATAATATTGAATGTTTTATTAAATTAATTACGGTTCTTAACTTTTATAGACAGTGTTTTAAATAATAAAAGGTTGGCCTCAAATTCACCTACAACTTAAAAATTAATACTGAATTTTTTCAGTGTAGGTGAAATACCATTTCGCCCACGGACTAAAGTTAAAATTTAAAAAAAGTGAGGGTAAAACTAATTGAAAGTTGTCAGATGTCAGATAAAACATCAAATAAAATAGGCTTTAAATTAATTGTGCTTGTTAAATAAAATATTAAATTTTGTGTTTTTATCAAAATTTTGGGTGCTCAAATGCTTAGAATGTTGCAGAAAGCATTCAGGTATACTTGCCAAACAAGGGTGAACAGGAATGTTACAAAAATTCCAAAAAGGGCCACATGTCGATAAAGATGCATCAAGATTTCGCAACGCGCGCGCCATCTGATGGTTTGATAGCATTGTGTGAATTTAAGAATTGTCAACCATACATTTAAAGCATACTGTACATAATTTTTAAATAAGTAAGTCGTTTTTTTACAAAAGAGTGGAAGGCAGAAGTCTTACTCGACAAATTTTGTTCAATTGCATAGCTAAATCGCCTACGTGATTTGTACTCGATTTTGATTTATTATTGCTTTTATCATTGATTAAGAAACTCAACGCTTGTATGCTTATATAGTTACTATCGCTAAATAAAAAAAAATAATATTTCGTCATCCCTCCGTTTTTGTCAATTACTGCCCGCAAACGGCAAAGCATGGAAGTCGCCGTCTTGCTTTATCTCGTTCCAAATGGCTTCAATGGCTTGCCAGAGTTCGTCTGCATTTTTTGGTTAAAAATTTAAAAAAAGTCATAATGGATGTGACAAAGCTCGATGTCAGCTTGACATTGACGGAAAAGTTTTATTCACACAGCCACAATATAGCTGTATGAGTTTTTTTTGTTGGCGATAGTACGTTAGTTTGTGATTAATAAGTGATCATGGTAAATTATTTTGTTTTAAATTGTAAATAAAATTCAAGAACTAAATTGTTGCATTTTCATGTTTTCCAATTCCAAGTATCCAATACCGTATAAACGGTACGTATATTCGTTGGTTCAGAATTAACTAATGAAAACTTTACTTAATATAATTTTAATTTGGACAATTTTAAGAATTATAACAAAAAATAATTGTTGTACTAACATAACCTTAAAATCGAATATTTTTCCTCTAAAAAAACGCCGACAACTGCATTTTAAAGAATATTGGTATTGGTATTTTACTGTTGAGTGAAGACTTTCTTAATCAACGCTTTTAATAATGCTAAATGCTGTCTTTAAAAATGGCTAAAAACATACTTTTGGCGGTGCATCATATAGGTTATAAAACTCTGACTTTTGACATTTTGGTATTTTAAGGTTCCAAATCTAAGGACCCTATGGTATTATTCATGTAAACGCCATCCATCGCCCTTTAGTTGCACTACCACTTTTACTTGATGCAATGATTTTAGTATCACATTTCCTTTTAAATTTACTATAACTCTATCGAAATTGCTTGGCAGGCACTGTATTTGCTAGATATGTGTTACTATGCGACTTTTTCCTGTTTCCCAAGCTATAAATTTATAAATTCTTAAAAATGGTGAATGCGCCGGGATTAAACATGTATTTTTTATTAATTTATTTTTATAATTATGTATCAGTGGCGCGCCATGGCGGTTTGTCGTTAAAAATAAGTTAAATACATTACTTTGATATATAAAAATTTAATATTAGGGTTACAGAACCTTTCCCCTCCCCATCCAAAACAAAGTGTCACCGCTGAATTTATGCTGAGAATAAAATAAAATATCTAGTGGTCCATAATTGTAAAAAAATTATTATAATTATATAAAAGTAAACATTTAGGATAATCTTTTCATATAACCATTAGGTATACAGATATGAACCATTGAAATGAAAAACCAGTCAGGATAGTCCAATATTTGCACATCTAGATAATAGTATATATACTTTAATATAATATAACAATTTAATTCAATTTATATTTTTTTATTATAATTTGTTCAAAACTGCCTAGCATTATTTAAACTTTTTTTATAAATTAATATTTATTTTTAAGTAAGAACATCTACAAAGCAATTAATTTTTGAAAGAAAAAAATAAGAAACATTTAATAGCCATTTGACATTATGACAAATTTAAGGTTAGATATTTTCATAATAGAATAGTTATTTGTTTTACAAGTGTTGAAAAGCGACTTTTTCATGCGAGTTTTTAAGTTGCCCACGACGCCGTTAGGCCGAGTGTGCATTAACACGAGCTTGAAGAAAGCTAAAGATGCAAAGTATTCCTAGCGGATAATAATCTTGGGTTTAAAAAGAATTTATATATAAAAAAATGTATGTGAACACACGTGATTGTTGTCCAATCATTGGACTCTAATGGTGAATGGATATTTTGTTAATACTTGTAGTGGCTTGATAATAATTATAATGTATATATTGTCCAGGACTATTACTGATCGTTAATATGCAAATTGAAAGAAGAAAAAGTTTCGTGATTATTGTATCTTTTTCAAACCAAATGGATGCTATTTTCAAAGCCAGGAAAATTAACACTAGATTTTTCACAAAAAGATTGAACCTAACAACATAATTTTTATTTTTTGTTTTTTTATTCCTCCTTATTTTTAAATGACGTTTTGCCCTTAAATTTTTTTTTTACTTTAGAATCTGATATTATTATTGGCATAGTTATCTTTTTATATCGATATTATATAATATTTAACAAGTAAATTATCGTAAGTAATATCATAAGGGCATTTAATTTTTCCGAAAAGAATCGAAAAAACACGTTGCTAAGTAATATTTTAACAAAAAGCATGAGTGCTGGTGGCAACAAAAATCCGAGTCGAAGAGGAGGATTTTTGCACCTGCACGAATGCATTTTGTTAAAAAATATTACTTAGCATTGTGTTTTTTCGATTTTTTTCACAGGAAAAATTATATGCCCGAATGGTATTTGACAAGACTATTTCATGAGTAACAGTTAAGAATTAAAATATAAATTGCGATTTTTGTTGACAACAGCTGTCAAGTTTTGCCGCGGGTAAACTCGAATAAACTGCTGACAGGTGCTGTCACACAGTTTTTTCACCTAGAAACCATTTGTAATTCAAAATTGCGCGTTTGTGATTGGTGGAAATTACGACGAGGGAAATAGTCAATAATAAATATTACTGTCAATTTGATAGTGTCAGATTATTTAATTAAGGTCTTCAGCAGAAGTACCATTTTTTAAATACTAAAAATACTAAATCAAACTGGCATAAGCTACCAATTTTTTCTAGCATTTATATTTACTGAGATAGCCTATACCGACAACCAATTGGGGACAAAAAAAAACTTCTACTAAAATGGAAAAGTTCTAAATAACAAAATTTTTAAAATTAACTCGTTTTAAATTTAACATTTGATCATCTTTTGTGGCTAATTTCTGTAAAGAATCTAAAAAATAATAACTTTTCAGTGATGTAACATGACCCAACTTCCCTTAAAAAAAATGTGACGTTTAACCATACGACGCCATTTAAAAATAAATTTAAAATTATTAAAAAGTAGTATTTAATATCTTGTTTATCATACTAACATTTTTAATTTCTTTATTTAGCGCTCTGCATCGGTTTAAAAATTAAAGATTACTGAAAAATGACACATGCAGTTTATTAGTCTCATTTTGCCATAAATACTACTTCTACTTCTACACCACATCTTAAATTTGATTTTCTTATAATTCACAATTCACAATTAAACAACCATTTTTGTTAAGGCTGAGAAGTGAGGCTGACACGTTAGCCTACAATTGAGCGAAGTACAAAAAGACATATTAATGGCATCCAACATTTTATATTCAAGGCACAGTTTTATTTGTTAAACCATACATTTAACGTACTTACAATTAGAATAACAATGATTAAGAGTATAAAGTGAGGTTAGATAGCTTCAGATGTGTCGGCAGTTCGAATCGAATTTTTTATTGGTCTTAACAGATCTTTTATAGACTAGGATGTAAAAAACTTCACCTGATTGGTCTAATTGATTTGTAGAGTCTATAGGAGATCATCGAATAATTTGGTAGTGAGCGTTGATAATAATAAAGCTTAAATTATAGAACGCTTGAAATCATTTTATTAATGACCTAATCATAAAGTGTTGATTTTTTCCATTACTTTTGCATATATATTTGCAGTAAAATTAATTATTGTTTTTAAAAATAATAAGGAATTTTAATTAAATTTACGAGGTATTTTCTAGGTAATCAGCAAATTAATTAGTTACCTAAACTATTCGGTGTGATAAACGTTTTATCTTGGCTTGGCTTTTATGTCCATTAAACGGCAATTACCAGCCTAGCACTTGACATTGACTGCGTGCGCGCCCTATTAACAATTTAAACAAATTGTTGTTAAACTTCTCGATTCGGGTCAAGTCGTTCTACATCGCCGCTATATAAACTAAAACAAAATACGTCACCATTTACGGTTGCCTACGAGAAGCCATTAAATCAAAATCGAGCACATAAAACGTCCATGGCAGGACTAGATTTGTTGGAATATTTTTACGCGAAAATGTTGAGGTTAGATTAGGCCGAAATCGGGAATACTGAAGGAAGGTCATGGCCGATCTGGATCAATTTTACGAACGCTTGCGTAGGCCGGGAAACGCGCAAACTGCCCTATCTTAACAAGCGAAATTTTCCAGCCAACTTTATTTTAATACTCGACTAGATAACCTTGCTACGGGCTACGAAAATTATTTAATTGATAGGATTGTATTAGTCATAATTTGTCTTTTCTCTGTGTACAAGTTTCTGTGATATTTTTGACTGTGTAAGTAGATTAACCTTGGTGTTATGTAATTATTAGTTTATTTCCTATTTTTGTATTACGCATGTGTAAATTCTTATAGATTATATGGAATTTAAACTTATTAAAAAAAAGTAATACATATTTAAGTCAAGCTCACATTTTCCTGGGTTTGTTAAATAAAAGTGATAATATTACTAGGGCGGTTCCAAAACGTATAAATGTTTAATTTTAGATTCGTTTTATGATAATAATTTATATAATAAATTATAGTAAATTATAATTGTTATTAATATTTATATACGTATATCGTCTACATTAATGTTGTCGCCTTCAAAATAGTCCTCATTGGATATTATGCACATGTGCCAGCTCTTCTTCCAATACTCGAAACACTTCTAAAACTCGATCTTTGGGATAGCCTTTAGTTCTTTCAGCGATGCGCTTTTAATGTCATCTATGTTTGCAAAACGACGGCCCTTTAAGGTTCTCTTTATTTTTGGGAATAGGAAAAAGTCAGACAGGGGCATGTCTGGCGAATATGGAGGCTGGGGAATCATTACAGTATTGTTTTTGGCCAAACATTTTGTTCAAAATTTAACAATTTTAGAACAAATTTTGCTGCCACGCGTTTCATACCCAAAATATTCAAAAAAATTTCATGGGATGAGCCAATCGATATACCAACATCATCAGCGACTTCTCTGTTGGTTTATAACCATTTCTTCCACTTTTTTCATGTTTTTATCGGTTGTTAATTTGCTTGTGCGTTCGGGGCGTTCGTAATCTTCAACGTCTTCACGGCCATCTTGGAAATCTTGTTTTACTTATAGGAGACTCACTATAGGCCTTTGTTAACATTTCACAGAATTTATTTCATTTTTTAAACAAAATTGGATACAAATTCTTTAATCCATTTCTTTTAACGAACGAAAAATCGCCGAGCTCATAAAACACGTCTAACCTTAGCGGCTGCCACAGACAAAGTAAAGAATGAAAACAGCTAAAGTTTTTATCATACTTTGGGGGCGTGTACACCAACATAATAAAGAAAATTTTATGACAACCGGACCCTCCGAACCCGCGAAATTTAACAATTCCCCTTATTTTTTGAACACACCTCGTACAATAAAAATAATGGTTAATCTAGACTTTTAACGACTTAAATAATAAATAAATAAATAGTAAATAATTATTAGTTACTGTTTTTTTGCTATGTCAAATATGACTTATAATTAGTAATTGGCTAATTCATTTTAAAAAAGTATGCAATGTTCTACAGAAGTATACATACTTTGGCTAATAAATATAAATTTAAAAACTGAAAAAATGCCTGAATTTGAAAAAATCTATTTGTTTAAAAAATTAGCATAAAAAAATAAAATGTTCTAAATATTTTTTTAAATTTTATAGTTAAAAAAGACCTATGTAATATCTAACTTTTGCCAACAAACATTAGAAGTTTGTTAAATCATATTCTATTTACAAACGGTTGTATAAAGATCGATGTTTCAAATTCTATAATTAAAAAAAAACATAACTCCAAAATTTTTCTTTTAAATCCTTATAAAATATTCGTTATAAATCATTTTTAAATAAAAAACAAATGTATTACTATACAATGTGATCCATTTGTTTGCGACTCACCCCTGTAAAATTGGAGCAAAAAATACCATATTTTTAGAATATACAAGGCCCACTACGTCAGTTTTTGAGAGAAAATTTGTAAGAATTTATATTAACAATTACAAAAAAACTATGTACGGCAATGGATTCACCACTTCTCAAAACGACCCTATACTTTTATTGAAAAATTTTAAGTAGCCAAATTAAAAATGGACAATATATTATAATAACTATTTACAAAAATTTATTCTGTCTATAGACATGGATAACTATAGTTATCCATGAAAAAATAATGAATAATACTAACATGGTATACATTTTCTTTTGCTTAGTTTTGACAAATAAAGAGCACAATAGAAAGTTAAAACAACAATTAAACAAAAAATATAGAATTCAAAAAATTAACCTACAATTATCTTTTTAACTGAAACTTTAGTAATTTTAGTTAACTTTCATGTCTGGTTATCGGCATAAAATTAAATTATACAAACTTAATAACTATTAAAAAATAATAAATATTTTAATGGGTTAATTTTCCATAATTATCTTAGAAAGTAATTTTTATTAAACTATTTAGGTCTAACCGATTTTAACGAATTAGTTTTATATAAATAATTATACTCATAATTATAAATAAATATTTATCTGTAATTATTAAATAAAATTAAAATGTTTATTAGGGGATTTTTTTTTCAATTGTTGATTTTTTTAAATTTAATAACCTGAAAAACTATTTGACAATTTTTAAATTAAAATAATAGAGTCAAAATTGTAAATAATCATTAATATTTTTTCATGTATTAAATATAAAAAACCCCGAAATCACAACATTGGATTTTATGAGTTAAAACTAACATTATTGTTGTCTTACAGTTCCAGACTACATTAAAAATTATCTGCAATGGCCTCGAGAACCCTACTCCGAAATGTCGCCAGCACAAACCAACATTATTTCCATCTCAGTCTCCACACCAAATCCATATCCAACTCCAAATATATTTATTCTCAAAAAGCCAAAATGTCTTCATCTGAAAGTGCAAGTAAGTGAAAATAATTTAGGTACTTCTTCATAATTAGAATTTCTTGAATCACAAAAACATTTTTACCATATTTTAGCTCACGAACTAACAACACAAATTGAAGAAGCCCGAAGATTTATGATAGACTGCTTTAGAGCTGTTGGAACACCACAAGACAATGCAGAAATTGTAGCTGATAATTTAATTGAAGCTGATCATAGAGGGCATTACAGTCATGGAATGAACAGATTAGGTAACGTACAAAAATATTATTCTCTCTAAAAGATTTTTGTAGGAAATTAAAACGGTTTTGCCTGTAAAGTAAACAACAACATCATAACAAATTTATTATGTTGTTGATTATTATTGCTTTGATGAGCACGATCAATTTTAATAATTATTAACTTAATGAATCATAATATTAACCACACAATTCAAGTTATTAAATCGTTTGAAATAAAATTAAAAAAATAGTTTGAAGAAATAATCATAAAATATAAACTTACTATTGTTACTAACTATTTTTTATCAGCACCTTTAAGGTCAATTTTATTAAGTAAATACAAATAAATTTGTACAAGATAAAAAAATTTTACTTTTTAGAAATGTACATAAACGATATTCAAGGAGGCGAATGCGATCCAACCGTTAAACCCACGGTAATCAAAGAATCGGTGGCAACAGCGTTTTGCAACGGCAACAATGGTTTGGGAGCTGTGGTCGGAAAAATGTGCATGGATATAGCGATAGCGAAGGCTTCCACGGCGGGAATTGGAATCGTGGTTGCAAATGGTAGTTAATTTATATTTTCTGAAAATGTAAGAATCATTTTTGTTTTGCAAAAGAATGTATTGCGTTAAAGTAATCTGATCAAATATCTTTGATTAAAGTTTTTAAAAATGTTTCCAAAATTCATTATTGACAAGTTTACTTTAAATTTATGACTTATGTTTTTTTTTAATATATTGGACCAAGCAATCAAGCAACATCGCTTCGCAGGCATTTACTAGATATGACACCATACGACTTGTTTCTGTTCCCCAAGTTAAAATTTCAATTAATTTTCGCTCCGTAAAACGCGTAAAAGAAAATTTAAAAAAGGAAATTAATACATTCCAACTTTGGCCTATAAAAACGGGTTTTAAAAAATATTGATGAGTACACTTACCATTTGCGTTCAAATTGCGGAAAATGAAAGGAATATCAAAAATAAAAAAATAATACGCTAAAATATTTATTTTTAATTTCTTTAGAAACATCTGAAATAATATATTATTAATAATAATCTTACAAAGTTTTTTTAATTTTTTTAAGGTTCAAACCATTATGGAATAGCCGGTATATACGCTTTACAAGCCATTAAGCATGGTTATCTAGGACTTAGCTGTACTAATACTTCGCCGTTAATGGCTCCTACAAGAGCTAAAGAGGTAGGTTAAAAATTATTTCATAATTAAAAAGCCAACCGGAAGATGGGGTTATGTTACATTTTTCATAATAAAGGACAAATTAAACTTTAATCGTAATACTAAATTAATTTTTATTTACAATCACAATATTGTCTGCTTTTTTCTAAATTAAATGTACATTACCCATTCATTGACTTGCCCCTTCAATTATGATTTTAACCTAGGGTAAAACTAAAAAAAAATTTCCATGGTTTCCTTAGATCCTGTGTAACTTTTTTATTTTTTTTCAGTCAGCTTTGGGAACCAATCCCATAAGTCTTGGAGCTCCAGCAAATTGTGGAGATAGTTTTGTTTTGGATATGGCTACAACAGCTGTTGCTGTCGGAAAGGTAAAAGATTTTGTACTCTTTATAAAGGTATTCACCTGGAAATATTACTTAATAAACCGTAACATAAAACATTTAATAGATACAGCATGCAGAATAGTTCAAATAGTTCAAAAGTGATTCTTGAACAAAGTTAAAAGTAGAGCAAATTATTTATTGTATCTAATATTTTAATTTCTTGTTTTTAGATAGAATTAGCAAAGAGAAAAGGCACGAAGTTACCATCAGGTTGGGCCATAAACAATGAAGGGAACATAGAATCTGATCCAGCTATAGCTTATGATGCAAGAAAGTTAATGCCCTTAGGAGGAGCAGAAGAAACTTCAGGATATAAAGGATACGGCCTAGGAGCTTTGGTAGAAGTACTATGTGGAATATTAGGAGGTAATACGTTCATCTATATTTTAAGTTTCTAATTAATAACTGCAACAAAAGATCTTGATAATAAGCAAAATTTACACTTGTAGGTTCTGCATTTGGTCCTAACATTAGAAAATGGGGCGAACATGGAAAACCGGCCAATCTAGGAAACTGTTTTATAGCCATTAATCCAAATAACTTTGCTGACGGTTTTGAAGATAGAATGAGTAGTCTACTAAACCATTTAAGAAGCATGGAACCGGTACACATTTATTAAAAAATATTTATATTAGTATTAATTACATTTTTATAGGCGGATCCAAGCAAACCAGTGCTTGTAGCAGGAGATCCAGAAATAATTCACATGGAAAAAGTTAAAATTGATGGCGGGTTAAGATACGTCAAAAATCAACATGATACCAACAGTAAGTTGGCTACAAAATTAGGAGTTAAGCCAATGAAGTCATTTTAATCGTCTTCAAATCTAATTATTTTTTATATTATACATGTATTGCTTTTATAATAAATATGTTATTGTTTTAGTATTAGTTTTTTTTATCTTAGGGACATTTATTTTTGTTTTTGACTTTTATCATTATTTTATCATTCATCATGTCACTTAACATTCAAAATTTTAGTGCTTTATTTTTAAGAAAATTTTTAAAATCACCAATAATCTATAGAACTCTTTTTGATAAACAATGCGACGATAAGAAAAATGATGAAGATAAAACACCCATATTTAAAGTATCGGAAGTAGAAAGATTTGTAAGGGATTGCTGTCTTAAGTCGGGTTGTTCCGATGATAATGCCAACGATATGGGAAAACTGCTCATAATGGCCGATAGAATGGGTATTAAAACACATGGACTTAACAGATTAGGTAGGTACCTATTTAAAAAAATCCTAAATTTTCTTAACAAAAGATTTTTAGAAATGTATTTAGGTGAAGTATCATCAGGTATGTGCGATGGTCAGGCAAAACCAAGTATACTAAAAGAAACACCGGCCACAGCTTTAATAGATGGACACAATGGTTTAGGGCATATTATAGGAAAATTCGCTATGGAGGTGGCAATAAAGAAATGTAGAGAGGAAGGGGTCGGGATGACATCTTGTTTTGGTAAAAAATCACAGTTACAGGCAGTTTTATTCTACACTGCAAAAAATATCTGTGTTTAAATTCTCTTTTTTTGTGTTAAAATTTTGGTTTAAATTAAGTGTAAAAATTGTGTAAATACTTTTATACGAAAGTTCCTACACTGTTCAAAATTTCATGACCATTTAACACCAAATTAACACCATACATGGTCTATATAGATACAAACCAAAATGGTGTTAAATATGGTTCGTTGATCCAGTGTAAATTCAAATACTAAAATAGAGTAAATTTAACTTTCACACAGTATTCAAAATAAATTTTACCTGGTGTAAATTGAACTCCTTTTCAGTCTTAAATATTCCTCTGACGCATTACTAGTACCTATATTACCAGTGGTATTATTCCAGAAAATTGAACCTTCAACTCGCTAGAGATAATGTTTTTGTTGCGTTCCACCAACTTAAAATACTATTGATAGCTGTTTCCACCTATTTAAGGTCTCTTTAGTATCGAACAACTTGTAGTGTCACACCGAAGCAAAGGACTACCTGAGCTTATATACTCTTCATGTAAGTCAAAAGAGGCGAGATTTAAGAACATCACGTGATCCACACCGCCTTTGCCGCGATCGGTACACACTATGCAACCAGGAATGCACGGCAAATTGTTTTAATCGTTTTAACAGAGTGCTTTAGGTTGAAGTAACTCTTATTTTACAAACAACATATTTAGTAAACTGAACCATACAGCGGGTTGGTTTCACTAAAGTTTTTTGGGTTAATTTAACCAATTTAAAAAATTAAATAACTATCTGGTTTAGCACCGTCAAACTAATCTTTGTTTATATTAACCTTTCCACAGTTGATTTTAATAAATACTTATGGGTCAACTAAATTAATATAGTTAAATGAACTATTCCTTTTTTTCTGTTTAGGTGCACTTCTCAAATATTTTTAGATAAAGACCGTTTTGGTGTTTGCTGTATATAACATTTTCAACCATAATTCATGGTGTTTATATTAACACCACTTTGTGTTGGATTTTGACACCATTTTAAGATTACTCTTTACACCACAGATATTTTAAACAGTGTAAATTGGGAATCAATACTAAAACGTGTAACCACTTGTTAATAGACACGTTAATGTGTTATAAACTCATATTTAATAAATATCTTGTTATCTTACACGAATTTGTGTACATTTTAACAAATATCGTGTAAAATTATCTAATTGCCATTGTTTTTGCTTGTTTAATGCGTGTCTTGTCTTCTGTGCGTTTATATAGTGTTGGTGTTTTTTATAAAAGAATATTTTGTGTGACAAAGTAAATAAACACATCCATATAGGTATATATTTAATATAAAATTTAAACTTCGACTTCACTATACCAAGTTTGCAAATTTGCCAGACCATAAAATTTTATCTTCTTTATTATTTTCAACAATGATCTTGTGTCCTGTATTACTTAATATTGTAGATGCGGCCGTTTGGCTAAGCAGGGCAGTTTTTTTTTAACCCAGAACAGTAATATAATTTGTTTTTTTTATGTTTTTAATAATTTGTTTTTTATAAATATATTATAATGTATTATCATTGATTAAGGTTTACTCCTTCACTCCGTATAATATTATGTCTTATTGAAATTATAAATTACCTACTTTTTTAAATAAAAATATTTTTTTACAGGTTATTTTTTTTTACCTACCCCAATTTGCTATTAAATTTAACACGGTAAAATATTAAAAAATAACACCAATCGGTGTTAAATTTAATACCAAAGTTGTGTAAAAATTACACAAACAATGTGTTAAAGTTTAATTATTCTTCGTGTAAATTATTACACGATATAAAAAACAAATCAACACACTAAAGCTGTGTTAATATTTTACACGATTTCGTGTAGACTTGGAATGACACAGCCTGTAAAGTTGTGTTAAATATTTTTTACAGTGTAATATCTTAACTATTTCAATAAAATCCCTTTACTTTACAGATATATCTCCAATCAAAATGTAATAAAAATTTCTTTTTTCCTTTTTAATTTAGATGGAAACCATTATGGTGTAGCCGGAGTGTATACCTTACAAGCCATAGATTGTGGTTATATAGGTTTTAGTTTTACCAATACATCACCTTTGGTTGTGCCTCATGGAGCTAAAGAGGTAAAAACTTACAAAGATGTCCAAAATTATTCCCATTTGCAAAATCCTAATAGAACAATTCGAATTTAGTCGAAGTAGTCAAAGTTACGGAGTATTTCTCTTTCAATTGCCAAACAATTTTTATTTAATTTTGTAGCGAGCTCTTGGTACAAACCCTTTTACAATTGGAGGACCGGCAGGTTGTAGTGATAGATTTAATGTAGACGTTTCATCTTCTGGAGTGGCTGTTGGAAAGGTATTTAAATATAATACTGTTTCCAAAAATGTTACATTAAAAATAAAATTTTAGGTTGAAGTTAAAAAAAAATTGGGTCAACCTGTTCCCGTAGGTTGGGCCATAAATCCCGATGGAAGTCCTGCCACTGATCCTGACAGTATCATAAAAGATACCAGACTTTTAGCACTTGGAAGTCCTGAGTTCGGTCAAAAGGGTTACGGTCTGGGTATTATGGTGGACATGTTTACTGGAATATTAAGCGGTATAAAACTGCATTTTTTTAATAACATTTTGAAATTATATTTTAGGGGCACTAAATGGACCGTTTATAAAACCTTTTAAATCAACTGAAAGAAAAAGTAATTTGGGGTACACTTTTATAGCTATAAATCCTGATATGTTTGCCCCGGATTTTCAAAAAAGATTTGAAGATTATTTGAAATATATTAGATGTATGCCTCCAGTAAGAAACTGAAATTTATTATCCAATGTTTTATTTTTTACAATTTATATATGTAGATTGATCCTAAGTTTCCTGTAATGGTGGCAGGCGATATGGAATCAAATGCCATGAAAGAAACAGATTTAAGTGGTCATTTAGATTATAATCCAGCCCAAATACAAATTTGCCAAAACTTGGCAAAGAAATTAGGTGTGGCACCAATGAAACCAAGTGGCTACAAAGATTAATGAATCAATAGAGTTCCAGTATAAATTAAAAACAAAAATCCCTAAAATGACATAACATTTTGTCAGTTTTTATGTCACCATCATCATCATGACCCATTATTTCAACAAAATTTTCAGTAGTAAACTAAACCCAAATAACATATTAAGCAAAAACAAGTCTAAAAAATGTGGAAAGGAAGTAAGAGTTTTACCGAAAGAAGTGAGAATTTTCGTCACAAAAATCATGAAGAGAGCCGGATGCTCTGAAGAAAATGCGGAAACTCTAGCTACTGTTTTATCTATGGCGGATTACCGAGGATCTTTTGCCTATGGATTGAACAAACTTGGTAAAAACAAATAATTAATTTATCCCAGAAATAACAATATTTTGTAGAAAAATACTACAACGAAGTTAAAGCAAAAACCTGCGATGGGCTAGCTGAGCCTGTAATAGAAAAAGAATCGTGCACGACTGTCTATATTAATGGAAAAAATGCACTTGGACCGGTTATAGCGAATTTTGCTATGTGTCAAGCTGTTAACAAAGCTACAGATATTGGAATAGGAGTATCGTCAGCATACAGTAAATTTGTTACTATATTGTATTTTCATTTTACCAATTTCCTGCACGGAGAAAATTGAAGCGCAAAACAGTAGTCAGTAAAAGGAGAACAGTTTTTGAGATATAGGTTATTTTACAAATAATATGGAATTGACTATAAACATTTACTTTTCTTAGCTTCTTCAAGAAACTTTCTTTACCCTTTACTGGTACTATTCAAGAGGAATTGAAACTTCACCTCGCAAGAGTTTTTGTTTTGAGTGCTACGTCTTTGGACGGTGTGCATCACGTGATGTTCTTACATCTCGCCTCTGTTGGCTTACTTGGGCAGTATATAAGCTTAAGTAGTCTTTTGTTTTGGGTGGGTTCCACTACACCAAGTTGCACGCCCTGTCGGTATTCGAAGTTGGTGGAAAGCACTCAAAACAAAAACTCTAGTGAGGTGAAGGTTTATTTCCTCTTGAATTGACTATATTACAAAAACTGCTCTACTTTCATAACTTTTAATGACATTTTCGGATTCAGCGGACAATTTTTCATAAGAATTGACTGTGTACAAATTGATGTGGACTGCAGCTATTAGTAGCTGCTTTTTCGCTATGTTATTTTTGACATTAATTTTAAGAGAGTAGCCCACTCAATAAACTATTGGAAATAATATTTCATATACTATAGTTCTTGGCACTACTAATTGATGTGATAAAATTTTTGTCACAAAAATAACCATTGGTGTTTTCAAAGTAACCAGTGACACTCGGGTTTTGTTTATTTGTTAGATGGCAATGTACTCAAAAAGTTATTTTGTCACGTAATTCTATTTATTGCACTTTCATTGACATCCCCAATTTTTGACTTTTGACCCTTGACATTGAATTTATTATTGCTTATGTAAGCGGGTAACAGCTAGTACTATATTATAAACTAATCATAATAAAAAAATTCGGTTTTTTTTGGTAAGATTGTCATCATCTAATATTTGGAAGTAAATATGTGGAAGATGCTGTTCAGAAAGGATTCATTGCCTTTGCGTTTTGTAATAATGTACGAACGTTGATTCCCTTTAGAACATCTCAAGTAAAGTTGGAAAAAAACGGTGGATCACCAAATATTTATTTGATTTGACTTTAGGTTGCTCTCGGTACAAATCCAATTACTGTAGGGTCTCCAGGAGAATGTGATGACTCTTTTTTATTTAACATGTCCTGTACAAATGTACCAATGGGAAAAGTAATTACATCTTTAATTTTTATACTTATAGTTATACTATAACTTAAGATGTTTTAGATTGAACTTCAAAAGAAAATAAACGGTGAAATTCCGCATGAATGGGCGATGACACCTTTGGGAAAACCCGAAACCAATATAAATAATATTATAGCTCAACCTAATCTTGTACCTTTAGGAGGAGATTATACTAGTCAAGGTTATAAAGGTTATGGTCTGGCTTTGGCTGTAGAAATGATAACTGGAGTCTTGGCAGGTATTTTTTTTACTTTTGAGTCGCTCTCTGAAATAACACATTTGTTTTTATTCAGGGGGTGCTTATGGAGAAGCCCACAGACCATATGGAAATTGTACTGATAAACCCAACCTTTCCATGACGTTTATAGCAGTAAACCCAGATATGTTTGCCGATAGTTTTGAGGCGAGGATGCAAAAAACTATGAATTTCCTAAGAAAAATGTCACCAGTAAGGCAAAAGATGACTTGTTGTTCATGACTGGATAATTATTTTTTTAGACTAAAGATCCTGTTTTGGTACCTGGAGATCCCGAGAGATTGCACATGCAAAAAGTTGATAGAGAAGGCGGAATTCCCTATCATCCAGTGCTGATAGACTCGATAAACCAATTGGCTCACCAAGCAGGAGTGGATCAGATAAAAATCGAATAATATGTAACATTTATTACTTTTAAAATATATAAATATGCATGTAATGCTAATAACTCATAGCTATATTAATAGTAATCTCAGTCAACTTAATAATATAATATAAAAAGAGGGTTTATACCTTGGAGTAAAGAGCAGGGAGATAGAGCTTTATCTCCCACCTCTTTAATCTAATGTTCATACATAAACATGTTTAATTTTAACAATAAAAATATACATTTTTACCTTAGTGGAACTAGCCTACTTCGGGGCTGTTTATAATGAGATTTATAAAAACATGATCATTTTCATGAGATCTTATTTATATATAAAATTTAGGGACTCTACTTTTTAAATCATTAAAAGATAATACACATTTTACAAAGTCAGAATAATGTTCCTATTTATAGATTTAAGAATATGGTAAAACATGTTTGTTGTTTATGTTAACTAACTGTAAATAATCACAGTTTTTATATAATATATTTTTTCAATTTTATCCTCAATTAACACAATTAATTCTGTATTGGTTTAAATAAAACTTAATGGTTACGAAAAATAAAATTACCTCTTCTATTAAAATTCTTTTTGTTTTTACAATTGGAAGTTGTGATGCATTGCATGCGGATGGGAGTAATGTCCCGAATGGGTGGATCTCGGTACTGTCCTTTGGGAAAATTGGGAATACGTGTCGTCTTGTCCTGGATGCATTAGCATTACTGGGTGGAGGTTTAGGGATTTTCTGGAACCAGCCACGCTGGCCGAGTCGCCTACGAAGGCGCTGTTCATTTCACCTAAAAAAAATAAAAACATGTTTTAGTTGCTTCTTTAAGTCAAAGTCTTTAGTGCGGTTCTAAGAATCTTTTTCTCTGTGGCGCGAGTTCTGGGACATCCTGTAAAAGCGGTTTTACACAGTATAAGTGAAGAGGATGTTTTTATGGGTACTTTAAAATTATTAATGGCTCGATCCATCTCAAATCACCCAGGCCATTTATGTCGAAAAATTTTTTTTCGGCGATACTTTCAGAAATGGTTGTTTAAACTATTTCAGAAAACACATATTTTTTGTTTTTGCTCTTAAAGTCAGCGTTTTCGAAAAATTTAATTTTTTCTCTGAGCGCAAAAATGCGGATTTTTCATTTTCCCCATAAACAACTTTTTTGCGAACGCTTATAACTTTTGTAAAAATGCATGGATTTGTGTGTTTTTTTTTTAATTTGTAGGTAATTGTTCAATCTACGAAGTACATTGAAGAAAAAAAATTTTGCGCATAATTTTTTTTTAAATTGTTAATTAAGTAAAAAATAAATTTTTTTTTTCAAAAATTTTTTTTTTGATAATGCCACATTTTTTTTTTCTTTTGATAATTTTTTATATCAATGTGTGATGTATGAACAACAATATGTATAAAAGTCAATATGCTAAATTTATATTTAATTGCGAATTAAATAAGGAGTAAATATATAAAAAGATCTAGTTAGCCATCACCGTTCCAGGCAACACTAGTTTAATAAATAGCGATAAATAGTTATATATATTTAATATTTTTGTCATAATTTTGGTTTAAATATAATTTCAAGAGTCTTTCAATTCTTTTCTTATACTGCTAATTTAACTTCTTTGCTTATCCTAAATATAATTTTATTTCCACACCCTGAACATACTTTTCGTCTATTTTCTTCATGACTTACCTTAGATGCTGGTTTACTTTTCGTGTTTAAATAATTATTTTATTAATTGACTAGCTGACTAACAACGATCATTTATGAGGGACACAAAACCTGTCAAAACTATTTATTAAACAAATGTGTTACCTAGCAACGGTGATGGCTAACTAGATCTTTTTATTTACTCCTCGTTAGCAATTAAATGTAAAAAAACTCGTGGCGATATTATTGCGTGAGCGTGTACGTTAACTGAACACACATTACTTCGATACTAAATTTATTTAAGGGCCCTGCTTTTTTTAAATACATAGTTTTATTAATAAATAGACCATTTTCTGTCATCCTTTCCTTTTTTATTTGTAAAATATGCTTTCGGCGATTAATGTGCAAAAACAATAAAGTATTAAACATTTTGTAATTAAAAAAAATCATATCTCGAAAAAAACGAATTTTAGCATATTGACTTTTATACATATTGTTGTTCATACATCACACATTGATATAAAAAATTATCAAAAAAAAAAAAATGTGGCATTATCAAAAAAAAATTTTTTGAAATAAATAATTATTTTTTACTTAATTAACAATTTAAAAAAAAATTATGCGCAAATTTTTTTTTCTTCAATGTACTTCGTAGATTGAACAATTACCTACAAATTAAAAAAAAAACACACAAATCCATGCATTTTTACAAAAGTTATAAGCGTTCGCAAAAAAGTTGTTTATGGGGAAAATGAAAAATCCGCATTTGTGCGCTCAGAGAAAAAATTAAATTTTTCGAAAACGCTGACTTTAAGAGCAAAAACAAAAAATATGTGTTTTCTGAAATAGTTTAAACAACCATTTCTGAAAGTATCGCCGAAAAAAAATTTTTCGACATAAATGGCCTGGGTGATTTGAGATGGATCGAGCCTAATGCTTTATCAACAAACGTGCATATAAACTTTTCGAAGATTAGCGTTAAGAAACTATTTAATAATTTTGTATTTTTGTATTGAGATAATAATAGTAGGTATATTCTGTAACTAGTTTGGAATACGTCATATTCCGTTCGAGTGAAAAGTTTGTCACTCTAGCCGTAGGTGAGTTGACGGTTTCACGAAAGCGAAATATGCAATTCCAAACGTGTTTCAGGCTAAACTTTTTTTACGTTTCAAAAAATACCATAGAAAAATTATTTAATTGCAGAAAGTGAGGTTAGATAGGTATAAATTTATTAGGTATTAAAAACAGAGATGTCGCTACCAGTGCTTATTCCGTCATCCGATGATAGAATAATTAATTCTGTAATACTTTCAGGAATATATGTCATTCTACATTAAGAAGTTATATTAGAACGGTCATATTCCGTAATAGGAGTAGATAAAATAATTTCCACATTTTACTATTATTTCACAAGAAGGGCCCCTTATTTCTACGATTGTATGACATTTGACAATTGTCAACCAACCATGAATAAAAAGCCCGAACGCCACTGCTGTTAACTTCTGCCCAAGACTAAAATCATAGCTTGTAATGTGTATTTGAAAGATTACCATAAAAATAGGTACGATGGTTTTAGGACATTATTATTATTATATTATTTATATGATTTTTAAAACTTGTGAAATCGTAGGTATTTAAAAATAGTATATTACACTACAAGGGCAGAAAGTATGAGATTCCGAGGCGAAGCCGAGGGCATCATGGCGCGCAGTTCAGGGCTCTCACACTTTCTGCCCGTGTAGTGTATACTATTTTTCTTACTGCCTCGGCCGAAAATACAATCCAACCCAACCCGGCGGAAAATACGGGAAAAAATTTAATGTGTATATCGAAACATATTGATGCCTGCCCCGACATTTGCGGCACGAGCGAAGCCTTCGTAGCCCTTGTAGTGTAATATACTCGAAAATACCTTGTTTCTTCCCCGATTCCAATGCATCAAACGTAAATTTGACCAATGCATCAAACGTAAACTTTCTGCCGTGGAATCGGGGACGAAACAACGTATTTTCAGTCGAGGTAGTAAGAAAAAAAGTTTTTACCTTTAAATAAGCTGGCAGGCGCATAATGTGGATCGGGTTGTAGCCTGACATGCCTAGTGGCTAAAATAAAAGCCAAGGTTGACAATATAACAGCATCCAAGCAACCTATAGCAGCAAGTAGGTAAGCCCATCTGATTCCACAGGTTCCAAGACTGTATTTATCCGAATTTCCACACACTTTTCTTATGCTTTCCTCCGACCATCCCACTGGGAAGCAGGAGCAACCAATTATCATGCATACAGCTAAAAAGAGGAAATATTTTTTAATTTTATGTTCTTTAACAGTATTGTGAATTTAAAGTGGAAGTATTTTATTTGTATTGCTTAAATATTTTTGATCAAATTTATCAAGATTTTTACGATTTAATAGTTCAAAACGATTTTAACCGTTTTAAAACAAAGTTTTAGATAATAGCCTGAAACTAAATAAGATAAATTAATTAATTATACTAAAAAACTATTTTTATTAAAACATTTTGTATAAGCACATAATCTATATGTAAGTGTGATTTAATTAAAATAATAATACGATCTATTACTTGCTGACAAGTGACATATAAAACTGATTATCATAATTTTATGTTGCAATTGACATTAGCAACGTATTAATAAGCAATTCTAGCTGCCACTTAGACAAAGTTCATTACTTCCTATTTTATTCTTCTAGGAAAATAACTCTACTTTACTGCATGGTATCAATAAAAATGGTCTTCACGCTTATGCGCTATCGTATCAAATCAGTCAGCTGATAGTATTATTACGTAATAAACGTACTGAAATAACAATGGTGGATACGCCAAGGTGTAACTGTATGAAGGTAGGTATGGGAAAAATTGGAAGAACCTTTGCTTTGTAAGTTACAATGGGTATTAGGTCAATTCTCATATAACTTGTTCCGATGCTGTATCCACTTATTTTTGTGAAAACTAATTCTCGCTCAAGGTTTTTTTTAGTGTAATAAGCCTGTAGCATTTCAAGGTAATGGGAACTTAAATTATGACAACCCTAATCTATTCAGTTTTTCCTAAAATGCAGGCTTTATGTTGCAAATGTCACATAAGTTACCGGTCACCAACTGCAATATCCTAACATCGATGAATATTTCAACAAAATGGCCGTTCAAACAACTAATGTTAGTGCTTGATTAACTAAAAATAGACTGAAGATTGACAAAAAATTATTTTATCCGAAATCGGCAGTAAAGTAGTCAACAATCGTAAATTAAAATAAATCGGCAGTAAAGTTCTACTTTACTGCCGATTTCGGATAAAATAATTTTTCGTCAATCTTAAGTCTATTTTTAGTTAATCAAGCACTAACATTAGTTGTTTCAACAGCCATTTTGTTAAAATATTCATCAATGTTAGGATATTGCAGTTGGTGACCGGTAACTTATGTGACATTTGCAACATAAAGCCTGCATTTTAGGAAAAAATTAATAGATTAGGGTTGTCATAATTTAAGTTCCCATTACCTTAAAATGCTACATGCTCATTACACTAAAAAAAACCTTGAGCGAGAATTAGTTTTCACAAAAATAAGTGGATACAGCATCGGAACAAGTTATATGAGAATTGACCATTATTGCGAAATAACCATTATCATCACTCAATAGAACTTGAAAACCATATAAAATATTGAAAACAATATAAAATATTTGAAATATTATTATTATAGATACCTATGCGTTTACCGATATTATTATTGAGGTGCCTAGTTTAACTAAAAGAGAATTGTAAATTTTACGATTTGCGATTCATCATGTAATGTAATTTTAGTAAGTATTAAATAAAAAAAAGTGTGAAAAAGTAAAAAAAATATTTTTATTTTTACGGGCTTTTTGGCAGCTTTAAGTTAAATTTGGAAATAAGTGAGGTTAGAAATAATTAACAGCTGTCATATGTCGGATTAAATTGGCTTTAAATTCATTGTGGTTGTTGAATAAAATATTGTATGCCACTATTGGTCAGTCGTGTGTTACGTCACGCGCTTCGTTCGTCCCCTTTTTCACACTAGTCGCACAATATACTATTATTATTCTGTCAAGAGTGCGTTTAAAATTAAAACTTACTGTTAAAGATCAAAGATTTCGAATAATTCTACAATGTTTAAATAAAAAACATATCATTATTACTAAACAGGTTGTCCCACAAAATGTTGCAAAATAAGGAGATTATTAAAAAAAAGGTTTAGTTTAATAATATTAGAGTTTTTGAATACTATTTTATTTTATAGTATAATATGTAACTAGATTTATAGTAGTAAAATATTATACAAGGGCAGTGTCGGCCGTCAGGGGAGGCAGGTGAGGAATTGCCTCATCATAGAGAATTAAAAAATTAATTGCTTTCTATAATATACTATAAATTTTTAATATTTGGATTACATGAATTGTGAAATAGTTAATAAAATTGATTGATTTTATACGTGGAATACCCAGTGTAGCGGCAATTTCGCCCGTACTCAGGTATCAACCAAGGCAAACACGAAATTTAATATTTTAAGCTCACCATTAAATTCCAAATTTAAATAGTCTTATAATCCCAATAATCGTAAATACGCAAATATGTTGTCTGCTCACTATTAAATTTCAAACTTCCCCAACATTAAATTTAAATCACAACAATTGTTTAATAGATATCTTATGTAAATACTATTACCTGTAAATTTTAAGTTTATAGTTTGTAAACAAGCGTTTACTGTAGAACCTACCTGGCTTAAGCTTTGGTATTTTTGGGTATTACTGTTTCTGCATATAAAAACCAGGCACACCATCATCAAAGACAGTCTGCATCATACAACACAGTCTGCATCATACAACACAACAATCGACATCATAGAAGACAACAGCTACCATCTTATTGTAAATAGTTTATTTGTAAATAAATACAGTATTGCAATCAGCATCGTGTTACAATTACACCACAACCCCATAAATTGGTGACCCCGACGTGATTCGAACATGCAAGTATTTGTGGAAGAATAAATCAGTGCTACCAACATGACGAAGACCAAAGCTTCCGGCCTACGGCAATCATTCGCAAACGTAGCGAGCTTTGTAGCACTCCCCTACGCTGCGGTGCACAACACGGTCCACACTGATGTCCAGCACTAAGATCTGCCTCAGTATGACAGTACTGGGGGCCAATATCCACAGCCACGGTCCACACTGGTTCCAGCACTAAGGTCAACCACAGTTGACAATGTTGGATACCACTAACCAACCATCCAAACGCTGGATGACGGTCACAGCTCAATCATCCAAACACTGGATGACGGCCACAACCACAGCTCTAACGTACAACAGCTATATCGTTCAATAGCTCTATCGTTCAACAGCTCTAACGTTCAAACGCTCTAACGTTCAACAGCTCTAACGTACAACTGCTTTAACGATCAACAGCTCTAACGTTCAACGGCTTCAATCCTCCTCAACGCGAGATGCCTCAACACGAGATGCCTCAACACGAGATGCCTCAACACGAGATGCCTCAACACGAGATGCCTCAACACAAGATGCCTCAACGCGAGATGACTCAACACAAGATGCCCCAAGCAGACATCCCAACGCTGGATGCCCAGAACCATCCACCCACTCAGACGCCTGGACCGTTCACCTCGAGGAACGTCACACGTTACGGAAGACGTGTCCGATTTCCCGAGGGCCTCCAAGCAGGAATCAATTAATTTCCGGCAATTACTGGTAGGGGGGTACTGTAGCGGCAATTTCGCCCGTACTCAGGTATCAACCAAGGCAAACACGAAATTTAATATTTTAAGCTCACCATTAAATTCCAAATTTAAATAGTCTTATAATCCCAATAATCGTAAATACGCAAATATGTTGTCTGCTCACTATTAAATTTCAAACTTCCCCAACATTAAATTTAAATCACAACAATTGTTTAATAGATATCTTATGTAAATACTATTACCTGTAAATTTTAAGTTTATAGTTTGTAAACAAGCGTTTACTGTAGAACCTACCTGGCTTAAGCTTTGGTATTTTTGGGTATTACTGTTTCTGCATATAAAAACCAGGCACACCATCATCAAAGACAGTCTGCATCATACAACACAGTCTGCATCATACAACACAGTCTGCATCATACAACACAACAATCGACATCATAGAAGACAACAGCTACCATCTTATTGTAAATAGTTTATTTGTAAATAAATACAGTATTGCAATCAGCATCGTGTTACAATTACACCACAACCCCATACCCAGCAACATTTAAATTATTTGAATTTGAAACGACCGCAATTTAAACTAATATTTATAGCTAGATGATTGGCCTAGAAGCATGCCTGAACTAATTTACTCACGATTGGCGTTAGCCTTGTTGTCTCGTTCTATTACAATGCGATATCATAGTTGTCTCCTTCTCTCGTATTAGCATACGCGAGGCAGGCACGCCTACATCCAAGGAAATAAGCAGGTGTTGTGGCAACACTGTTGCGGAATTTTAGATAAATTATACTTCACACGTTTTTCAAAATTCAATAATAAATGGTATTATTTTTCTTATAATAAATCGATTTAATCAAAATTATATTTTTATTCTAAAATAAACATATTTTAACACTATCGCCATTTTGGTTATAAAATTCTAAACTGTTTAAAGAATAAATCTGTGGTTATTTACGCAATATTTTGTTTATTCTTTTTCTATGGTTTGTCTATTTTATGATTCTTTTGTAAGTGGTTTATTCTGTGGGTTTATAAACTATAGTTAATTGAACTTAATGTGAATTTAGTCATTTTGGATATTACGGTGAGAAATTGTACCGATATTGTTGACCTTCACGTGGTTCTTGAATGAAATATTAATTAGACAAAAATGAGGTTTATTTAAAATAAACGTCATATTTACAATAAAATATATTTCATTGACAAAGTAGAGGATTCCTTCCCCACCACAGTCTAAGTTTTTTACTTAGTTTTAAGTATAGGTTATGAACTGCGACGAGTTTTTTTAAGTTGGGTTTAAAAAAATTTCTTCGCCTTTAAATAAGGGCGAAACCCTGCCTCTGCCTCACCAAAATGAAATGTCACGGGCCGCTACTGTACAAGGGATAATGCAGGCTTGTATTAACGAGCATAGTCTAGAGTAATACTATACTATACTATACTTTATCTATAGTTATCTTCAATAAGTAAATAATTAAATGATTTTTATAAGAAATAAATAAAATTTGACAGCTGTCAGATGGTTAACCTAACTTTCTACCAATTT